CCCCAAAACCCCAAAACCCCAAAACCCCAATAAATAAAATTGAGAGTATATTTAGAGAAGTGATATTTAAAATTTATTTGAATAAAAAAAGAAAGAGGATTATGAGGATGAAGATTATATTGAGTCATAAATAGCGTTAAATGAGAATAGTGCTATTTATGATTCTCTTGCAAGCTACGATTGGTTCAAGGTTATTCTTGTCAAACCCTTCTATAGGAATGAATCAAATGTATCAGAAGCTGAGCTAGTCTTAATCATCAGAGATAAATCAAGATTCATAGAACATGACGGCTATCTAAGTATAATAGGAGCCATAACCCTATTCTAAATATAATCATCCTCTTGTTGACTATATTCTTGGCTCAATCTTTCTCTTCTTTGCTGTGACTATAATTTGGCTAAATGAGCGTAGAAGCGTATGTTAAGTCACACCAATTTACAAAGCATGGTAGCAATGTGAAGCTGTACAAGATTTCAAGCATCCATAAGAAAACTAGAATATGAAGCTAGTTCATGTCGAGGGAGAAACAAGAATCTAAGAAGGAAGCAAGGTAATAGACCCTGAATTTGATGTAGAAGTAGATTATTCAATTAAACTAATAAGAGAAGTTGAAATGTATCAGTGGATTGAAAAGAAAAAGATTGTTAGTGGAGAAACCTTATACTTTTATGATAAAGAATGGACTAAAAATCATATTGACAGTACATAATTTAAAGAACCAAATGACAAGTTTTTTTAAAATCCTGAAACTCTTCCTTATGAGTCTTAAATATTTTATAACGAACAGGTGTATTTTGGGGGTTTTGTATTATCTAGATTCGAGTTGGATAAAATTCAGAATAAATGCGAAATAAAATATAATAAAGAATTAGTTGACAGAGTGTAAGCAGCTACTGGAGATAAACTTAAAGTTCTTGGTTCAGATTACTTTATTTTGGATGGCTGTAACCTACTCTCAAAGAAATAAACAGATTAAAGGAATTATGCAGAAATTGGAGATATCAGAGTATCATTCTTCAATGTACCTTGTGGGCCTGCGACTGTAATAGCTTAATAGGTTCAGCACAAAAATCCAAAAGATGAAAAATACTTCACATTCTAACCATGGGATTCTCTGAATCAAGATAAAATTCTTAAAGAATCTGATGACTAAGATTCAAATAGCTTAGTAAAACAATAGACCTTGGCTTAAAGAGCAGATATATCCTCATAAAGTTCTAATTTATTCTATAATGCATTGCTTAATTACTAATTACCTGAGCAGATACATGAAGTGGTTGATTAACCATGTCATAAAGATTAAGTTTTCTAAGATCTAGTTAATAAAAGCATTGGATCATTGTGGCCTCAAAGAATTTTTGGGTATTTTGCAAGTATTATAGCTTATTGTATCCTTATAACTCCTCTATTAAGTTCATTGAATTTCTTAGGTCTATTAAAAGAACTAGACGGAAGAAGCAATTATTTAAAGATTTGTGTACTATCTATCCTTATATCTCTTGCTACTGAAGTATTCATAATTGGACTTGCTTGGATAAGATATAAATATGTCTTCAGCACTGTTATGTTCTCTCTTTGTGCAAAGATTATACTCTTCATTTTATTGATTTGAATATCCACTTTGAATGTGCTAAGGCATGTGTGAACTAGTCGTAAAGATATTTAAAATTTTATTTTTATTTCATAAATTTGTTAATCAATCTAAATATTCAGAAAGATGGGGTTTTGGGGTTTTGGGGTTTTGGGG